TTACCCTTTTACTAGCTCAATTTGTATGGGCATATGCACTGCAAACGATGCCAAGCATACTAAAATTAATTTATTTACTCCTCACTTTGCTGTACTTAGCTTAAAATTGAGTTTGATTACTTCAGCATCCCTGTTTTAAAACTTACCTGCAAAATAAAAAAAGGAAATTAAGTAAATGTTCTGCTAAGACAGATGAACCAGAATTTCCTAACTTCGCTTTTTATAAATAGGATTCTTAAAGTTAACATTCTGTGAAATATATTGGTTGGAAAAAAAATCAAATGATCTTCATTTTTTTCCTTTAAGTATACAATTTATTACATACTGTAAAGAGCATTAAAAGGCTATCATTACAGTGTAGGTTTAGCTACACTTACAATGGTAAAATGGCTGAAAATTTCTGACAAATTTTGTCTAACAAAAGGCGCAATTTCAACTAATCACCTTTATTGTACCTCTCTACTTTTCTCCAGGAACAACTATCTGTGCTTTAATCTTTCTTGTATTCGGTTACTGCAACATACGAAGAATGAAGCTTATTATTTAGAAATCCTTTACACAGCTTGGGTCATGTATTTAGCAGTTGATGCATTGTTCTATAGCTAACATAAGTTGTGGATTTGAATCATGCTTTGATTCTGTAGTTGATTTTTCAATGCAGGTCTTTAGGGCCTTTTCTAAAGTGAAATCATGTTTCTAAGGCAACCTTTTTAAGCACACATTCTTTATCTCTTAGGGACCTAACAAATACTTTCGAGTTTGCCTGCAAATACCTTTTTTTATGCTTAACGACAAATCGCCATTTCTGCTTTTTATCAAATGCATTCTGGCTGTTCTTTTGAGACAATAGATCTTTTTCAGAATTTTATGTAAATTGTGCTGCGACTACTTTACCGAACTTCTTAAACCTTTTAGTTCTAGGCAAGGGTTGCAATGTACTAAAAGAAACAATACCGGTGTAAGTATACATGCTACATTTTAGTACTGTATTTAACATTACTCCATATTCTTTAGACACCTCCATGTAGAGCACTAGAGCACGTTCCCCTACACAATTCCTTTTCTAATAGTTCAAGTCAAATTCAACATCAGAGTTTAAGTTGCAGTGGCTCTGTAAAGGAAATATGGCATTAAAACTCTGTACTAATAGAAACATGAGCAAAATAGATTTTTTTTTTAAATATGTTTTTTGGATAACTGATTGTGTTTATGTGTGTGCAAAATCAGGTTAGATCATGATGAATGGCCAAACAGACTGGTTGGAAGCATATTTTATTTTAATTAATAGACTAGCATCCATAGTTATTAAAAGATCTTAAGTGTTCTCCCCACGGTTTGCACACATTATGGTTACTGGATCTCACTAAGTAACAAGAACCACTAACTTCCATCATCTTAAAATGAACCTCACCAGATCTTAAACATTTCAAAGATAAGAAGTGCTTGTCCCAAAACTGACCTCTTTAAGTCTCTTGAATCTTAGACCAACCCAATATACACAGGGCCTTGACTTCTGCCCAAGCTGAGAATAATCCCCCCAATGCTAAGCCCTGCGCACTATACTTAGTTCTGGCCTTGGGTGTTTTCTGTATGCAGTAGTCCTGTGTGTAGGATCACAGATTGGGCCTTCTTCCCCAAGACACTAGTGCTATGGGCCCTAGCACTAGTGCAGTGCATAACTCCCAGATTTAGAAATTCAGAAAGAGGGATACCCTAAGCAGATGATGACTGAAAATGTTTACATGGTTTAATTAGGCTAGATATTGGATTTGGATTAATAGGGTCTGAGCCTACTTAAAGTATACACTAAAAGCATAAGCCACATTATTTGTACAAAATACTTAATACTAATTAAAGTGGCACAAATGAGAGTCTGACAGATATACATGCATATCCCTTAGCACAAAGGATCTCTTTCATTACACATGTCTTTCTCTGCACAGAATATAGCCAGATAGCTAACAATGTTTTTGTTTCTACCTTAAAGAAGAACTTCATTAAAAAAGTTGGGGGCTACAAAGCAACAAACAACTGTTGAGGCAATACACACCATGGTCAGGAAGGTTGTAATTTACTGTACAACTTACACAGTGCAGCAACCCAGATTACAGTATAGAGTGCAGCAGTTAAGAGTATGTAATGTACAACATAGCTTATAGAATGCAGAGATCAGGAGTAGAACACAGCACAAGATATAGATCACAAAGGTCAGGAGTATGTAACTTAGTCCTGCCTATTGGTCAGTGGGAGGCAAAAATGTCCCAGTGTCAGCAGTCAGTGGTAAGATCAAATGCAAATACTTTGTAATTGCACAGCATAAAGTACAGAAAGAAGTGGCGTGGAATAGGGAAAAAGCATAAAATGAAAGGTGGGGGGTGCATAATTGCGACCCCTACCTATGAGACTACTTGGTCTTTTTTCTGCCTTCACTTTTCTGTTTCTATACTTCAGACTTCCTATTGTAGACTTGGTCTAATGCAAACAATTCTGTTTCTCCTACTACCAGGTTAGTGCTGTATTGCTTGTTGTTATTTACCCACTGACTCCTCTGTCTGCTCCTTTCTCTTTGGTTCTGGAGTGCTGCCTTAGGGAGGCCATGGCTTGTGAGAATTCTTGCTTGGCGTTTCATTTATCTGCATATGCTAAGAATACAATTTGTAGAGGTGATTATGTCGATCTCCTTTCCCTCCACCTATCTGTTAAGGATATCCGGTAAGATAAGAAAGACTCGTACTAGGCTGATGCTGATAGACGTACTGTATATCTGCTTCATGCTCGTTTATTAATTGGCTACAAACCTTTTGTATATATGCTAGTGTGATGGGAGAAAGACACTCCAAATTTTGTAGTGGTATGTTTCAACATATTGAAATAATTCTTGAGGCATACAAAAATATGGCCTTGGATTGGCCTGGTTCTTTTATGACGAATAATTCTGTTAAAAATGACCCGTTCACCAAAACTTGAAATGGGGACCCAAGGATGTAGGTTTGTAGTTAAACCTTCTGATTCTGAAGAAACAGAGCTTGCTACCTCAGTCTTCTCAGTCTGGACCCTTTAAAAAAGGGTTGCCTTTTAGTATTAAAGAGAGTCAATGTTAATGGTTTAATTCATGCCGGTATAAGCATGAATTTCCCACTTGCTCTGGTACTCATCCAGCTTCTTGTTGCTTCAAGAAACTAGCCTCCAAAACTGAATCTCACACTAAGGATAATTTTTGTGCTAGCAGCAACACCAATAAAGTTAATCGAAATGTTGCCATTTCTCCTAATCTGGTCTTATTTAAAGTTTTTTATTTTGGTTTCCAGTTACCATTTTTTGCCGACACCAGCTGCCTTTGTTTTGATAATTTGCCCTCTGTGTATCGTTTTCCTAATGAGGTTGATGAAAAAATTTCAATAGAAGTACATGAAGGTAGGGTTTTTTTTCCTCTCCTTTGCAAATTTTAGGGTTTTGCCTCTTGGCTTGATACCCAAAAAGGAACCAAATAGTTATCGTTTCATTCATCACCTGTCTTTTCAATTGGGTTCCTCATTGAATGATGACATTGATCTGCTTTTGAGCTCAGACTCTTATGCTTCATTTGATGATGTGGTGGTTAAGATACGCAGACTTTTTGCTTTATTGGCAGAAGCGAACTTTGACTTTTTTTTGTTCATTGCCAATTCATCCTACTGCATTCAATTCTTTAGGTTTTTCTTTCGATGGGGCCTATTACTTTGACAAATGCCTACTGTATCTATGGGCTTTTCCTTGTCATGTAGGTATTTAGGCCTTTTCTTCATTTTTGGATTGGGCTGTGTCTTTTCAGACCAGATCGGATAATATTTTAAATTATTTGGATGACTTCTTGTTCAAGTCCAGCTGATTCTCTGGATTGCCTAGTTATTCACAAAATTAAGTGTAACTTGTAGATGTTTCAGAGTTCCATTGGCTGTGAAGAAATTGGTTTAGCCAAAGTCATGTCTTGAATAACTAGGTTTAATCATTGATATGGCCAGGATGTAATTTAATTTGCCTTTGGTAAAAGTAGCTTGGGTATGTTGGTATCAGCTATAAAAGGTTTGGGAGGTTGGAAATCTGATTGTTTTTGGACTTAAAATAAGCCTAATCTCTGTTTCTATGATTTTTAAGTTCACAACACAATGTATGGGTTATCATACATTGATTATTAGACATTCGTTCATTTACTGGGCCAAGATTCAGGCTTTGCTTTGAGTTTATTTAGGTCTTCAATGTAATTCTTTTCAGGTTTGTTGGTATGGCAGACAAGGCATGTCATGGTTTGACCTTTGTTCTGCTTTGTCTTTATTGTATTCTTCATGACCACCACCAAATATAATTATCTTACATTTTTCTGGCATTGACCTAGGCTTACATAGGACTTTGTATTTAATTTTGCAAGTTAAGATTGATCTTTTGCAGTTTCATTTAGTTTTTCCTACGACTGTTTTAGTTTTCTCTGAGATTGTTCCGCAATTGAATTGGTTGGTTAATCTTGAACTTAAATATCTGGAGAAAATTCATGAATGAGTCAACAGAGCTATAGCAAGAAAACATTAAAAGGAGGTCAGTGCTAAAGAAAAATGAAAAAAGAAATGGGCAGCTTGCAATTGGTAAATGTACAGTACTATATAGTACTAGCGTCCCCTGAAGATGTGCACATGAAATCGGTTGGGGCAGGAGCCTCACTGCCAGTTTAAGTACACTGTTTTATTTGTCATCACAATCGTTTTACTGCCATTTGGATGAAGCCTTTTACTTTTTAACGTGAAATTTCTACTTTTTAATAAACATACTACACTCTATGTGGTGTCCTGCTTGTGGATCCTTGTGGTGAGCTTTTTTTAGACAATATATTAACCTCCCTGGAGATATTCCCGAATGTAGATGGGGTAAAGTTTCAGCACCACAAGCGGTAACCCCGAGCTACACTCAGTAATACCTTGCAGTGCTGCTCCGGGATCTCTTCTTCACTTACCTTGTCCTTCGCTCCCGCGATGTCCCTCCTGCAGTGTCCCCTGAAATGTCCTCCGGCCGATGCCGGCATCTATCTTCTGGGTTCCGTTCCCTGCGACGTCAGGACATACAGGGGACGGAACTGGCGGGAAATTTGAAAGTTGTAAAAGTTGTAAAATTCACTAAATTCAATAAAATCACATAGTAAAACATTACTGTAGCAAACCATTTCACATACATTTTGTCCCGAGTGCTTTGTCCTGTGCCCTGCCTGCATTTTTACTGTTCTTTCTGCCTGGAAACTGAGAAATGTCCATGGCATCCAAAAAGCGTCCCTTTAGGTCAAAAAACAGTTTTAGACCAGCTAGAGAATAGCCATAGTAAATTAGAACTAATTGCAGAATTGAGTGATAATGATTCGTGGGGAAATTCGTCATTAGACACTGAAAACGATTTTGCGACTTTGCTCAGTGATGTGTGAACTTGGCACTTTATTTCAAATGTCAGTGTTTTTGGTTTGATTATATTATTGAATGAAATTTATTATTATTATATTATTATTTTTTATGATTATTTATTAAATTATAAGTTATGATTTTGTGTTTCAAATTTTAACATACGCAAGATGTTTACTAGACTCTTGTTCGGACAGATTTCAGTGTGTTATTCCTAAAAATTACAGGCCTACAATAAAAAAACTACATATTTCCATTCAAAAAAATGTACCTCTTTGAGCACAGAAGTATGGACATAATCAGACATAATCAGGAAGGCTATGCAAACCTTCTGACTGTCTCCTGTGGTGAGAAGTGGTACTGCAGGGCGTTTCCATTGTAAGAATGGGGCTGGTTGATCACATGTGAAGGATTCTGTTGACACAAACGCTCATGTTACTGTTTTCTTCTGGCAGCTGTAATGTTGGTGAGTGCATTTTAGCTGTGTTGCTCACATGTGGTGGAGAGGATTTCCATTAGTTTTGTGGAAGACATTTTCTCTGTGTTGATATATATCACATATTTAGGAATTTTTTTGCATTGGTCTTTATTTACATTGATTTTTCATTTTTGAGTATTGTGGATGCTTTTTTGCACATTATGAATGTTGTGTTTGGCACATGCTTTAAGCTTGCAATATTCTATATTTAGAAGGGCTATAGTAAGGTTTATGCATTCTATCAATGGGCTGTCCTTCCAGCATGTTGAGCTATAAGGTGGTTTACCTGGTTTCTATTGCTCTGACCTTATCCACCTATCTGATGTTGCACTTGATATTGTGAACCTTGATTTTCAGACTTGTGTTAAATTGCCTGTGGCCCGGGTATAGTGCCAGACTCCTTTAAGTTGAGTCTGGCATTTGGGGACAGTTGGTTTTGTTTGCTCTCAGTTTTATGGTTCGAGCTTTAATAGTTGAACCATTGGTATGTATAAACATGTACTTCATTTTGGTGGTCTAGCTAATGTATCTAAAGATATAGTTATAAATAAATAATTATTATAGGTAAAATTGTAATTACTATACCAATATACCACAATATCTGCTCTAGTAGTCTTTATTTTGCATAGAAGCAGTATTTGGGTTCGGTCTACGGTCCCATGAAAGGTGAGGGGAGCCCAATTACAACCCCCCCTCTATGTGGCCTGGGACTGACTCAAATTGGCAGTTAATCTGTTAAACTAATTGATTCACTACCTACCTGTGGTTCGGTTTCAATTCTTCGGGAGAGTTTTGTAGCCCACCAGGTGACCTAAGGAACCTATAATATTAGAAGAAATTAAGACAGACATCAGACCAATGGTGGAAGCAGAAAGAGAAGAATCCCTCCCTTTGTTGTAGTCCATTATTGTGTGGTTTTGTCCCTTCTGCGGAAGGGGACATTTGGTTTTATTTGTTCACAGTTTTATGGTTTGAGCTTTAATGTCTGAACCATTGGTACAGTATGTATAAACATGTACTTAATTTTGGTGGTCTAGTTAGTGTAACTATAATTATCAATAAATAAATAATTATTATTGGTAAAATTGTAATAACTATACCAATAATAAAGGGCTGCAGTCATTCATACAACAATATCTGGTCTTGTAGTCTTTATTTTCCATAGAGGTGGTATTTAGGTTTGGTCTCTGGACCCATGAGCTGGTGTGCAATAGGAAATATACCGCCCAGCAACATTTACATGTATGACCATCATTGTACAGCTCCACACTGGATAGAGGTACTTACAGTACTTCTGCCTAGTGTTCTCTGCACATCAGCATGTCCCCTTTCACCATGGAAACCACTGCTTGCTGAGAGCAAACTGGACACTGCATGATACATGGCAAGAGGTGTTCCAGCAATGAGCTCTGGGACACAGCCTGGATCCGCGGAATGCCAGGATTTTTTTGATATGCCTAGACATGCCCATGGAATTCGGGATGTTATGGTATTGTTTTACATATTGTGGCTCCCTAGTATGTTGAGGGTGCTATGTTGTACAGAGTGGAGCAGTATGAGGTTGGGCTAGAATATATAGTGAGGGGTGCAGTGTTATATAGAGTGGAGCAATATGGTATGAGGTACAGGAAAAAGGGGAGAAAAGGAGAGACTGTGACAGTACAGAGCAGAAGATAGTGGTGTTGAGTTCCCTTGGACATCCTGGAGGGGCCTTGAGGCAGACCCCTCTTTACTGATCAAAACCAGGAGAAGCTAGTCAGGGAGGGGTAAGTTGGAACTTATGATTTAGGCAGCAGCAGCAGAGCCCGGTCTTTTCCTGATGCACATTCCAAGAACAAAGACACAGCTAGTTCCACACTGTGCATGTACCCTGAACCCCCCTACCACATTCACTTATGATCTACTTCTGCAACTCCACATGAGCCACCAAGAGCTGGGCATATCCCCAATGTGTGCAGTGAGTGCACATTGAGTTCCAAGGCATTATGTACTTTTGTACACTACAAGCACTACACACACTGTGCATACACCACTAGTTCTAACATTTAACAATTCAACGACAAGGCACAGTGCCGCATGGCTAGAGAATTCAAAATCTTATGTACAGCCTGGATTGAGGACACAAGGGGTGCCACACAAAAAGAAGGAAAGATCTGAAGATTTACACAGGCACCAGAGTTGTTACACTAGGAATGTATTGGGTCAGTTCAGGTTCTCCTTAAGCTTTTAGTTTACCCTTGACAATTTTGCAAAACTGGGGTCTTCCAAAATCTAGTTTGCAAGCTCTCCTTATTGAATATGGAGAGAGTAAAGCTGGCCATATGTGGATCAAAATTCATCTGGTACAGCAGGGACCCTCCACTTTTGATCATGTATCTAGCTGGTTGTACACAAGTCGATCTATGTGTTGACTTTTGTACAACCAGACTGTTGGGTTTTTCCTGAACAATCAGTGCCAGCAACACCGAATATTGCAAAATACAATAATACAGCGAGACTGATTCCCCCATCCATATCGAACGTGTGGATGGAGGAATCAGTTCATTTTTTTAATTCAACCCACTGGTTAAATGAAAACGAATGAATCATGTATGGCCTACCTAAGTGTATGGATTGACAATTTCTAATCGTTTGCCTGTATAATAGTGAAATACAGTATCTAACCAGTAGTATCTATGTACTACTCAAATCCCACTGAAATTCCTCTGGCTGCTTATGCCAGTCATAGGTACTGTACTTGCCAATGTTTCCCCCTCTCAACTCTCCACAATAAGAAAATAGCAAGATGCACTTTCAGCATCAGTAAAAGCTTTAAAGTTTTAAAAGGAAAATGCTGATAGTAATTCCTGCCAGGGCATGTGTATGTTCCTATTAAAATTAATGTTAAGGCTGATACTAAGTGTGCGGCTTGCTATTTTCTTATTATAATGAGACATCTGAAGACCTTTTTGTCTGTGACAATCTGAATTATCTACTAGAGCAGTTATCACAAAAAAAAGTAAACAGCTTTTTCTGCACTGGATCTGCACTGGACTAATATATTTGCTGATGGTGCAAAAGCAATGCAGGGTCCAATTTATGTAGTTATTTTAAGAATTAAATCTTTTCCCAGTAAATGCCTATGTCACAGATAAATTTCAACTGTGAAAACAATGCCTGCATAAAAAAAAAATATGTTTTTCCTTCAGTATGGTAAAATGTAAATTATGGAAAATCCAGTGCCTTTAATACTAGGCAATGTACACTGTAGTAAAATTGGCAGTGAACATAATTTACTTTTTTTTTTTTCCATACAGTGGTTCAATGGCATTGGGAAAGTTCTGGTTTGAGTATTCAAATTGTGCTGTGAAATCCAAATGTTTCTTGTGGTGAGAACAAAAGCAGATACTCAATTAAAATGAGTCAAACTGTAGAGATTTATTGATTTTATGTGCAGTGGCATTAGTGAACATGGCATAGAATTGCTATCTGATAATGTAGAAAACTGATAATATCGAATTTTTATCTCTCTTTGGTAAGCACACCCAACATTTACTGCTAAATATAAAATATTTTGCATTAAAAAAATATTATTTGGAAAAATAGAATGATGCCAGGTGAGTTTGAAACTTTTGAAACTCTGACCACAATCATGTAAAAAGTAGTATTTCCATAAACTCAAACATACTGTGCAGACAGCCTTAAAAAACACCTCATATATCACCTAATATAAAAATTCAACATCTCTGACAACAAAATACAGCAGAAAAACAGGGTAATCATTAACCTTGACATGTTTGAAAACCTATTTTCTTTTAACTTTTTTTTGTAAAGGCAGATATTTAAATACACATTTTGATTTTAATTAGGGAGTACTGTACCTTTGCCCAGGGCTTAATCTCAAGGCTATATGTTGACCACAAAAAAGATGCTTTAAGGGAGCACAAAATTCTCCAAAAAAGGTTGACATTTATATATAGGCAGGAATCATATACCAGGGAATGGGAGTGTTTAAAATTTGACTGAAGAATTTTTCTCAGTCCTTCAGATTTAGTTTTATTCTTATTAGTAATTTTCTAATGAAAAAGCAATTGTTTAATAAAGAATTTTTGCTATTCAATGTCTAATTTAATGTTAATATTCTATTCTAGAACAATGATGCATTTTTAAATACAATGTTTATTTAGCACAAAATCAAAGTTTTCTAAATCTTTCATACAGTATATGCAGTATGAGCAAAAAAACCCAAAACAAAACAGTGTAATAGATAATAATGGACAGAGGACTAATTTTTCATTTTTTTTTTTATATTTGCTTTTTTTTTTAACAATCTTTCTACTCTTCAATATTATTTTCACCTAAATCTGACTTCTAACCTCTTATTTTGAACTTTTATAAACTGGAAACAAATTATGGCAAGACAGGAAAAAAAAACAGGGAAATAAAAATCAGCTTTCAGTGATCTGTATATATTCTTATCATCTTATCTCCTATA